AGATGCTAACTGTGTTAGAATCCTTGATTCTCCACTGGTGAAAGACTTCATCCAACGCTGGCACGAGGGAGTTCTTTTCCTTTACATGTCTAGAACTTTCCCTATCTTCCTCTCTTGACTCACAGGCATGCTTAGCCTCACCTGCATACATGACACTGTTACATAGTCCCCAGTATGGTTAAGCCATAGCTTGTCCACACTGCAGCCCTAACTCTGCAAGACTGTAGTCAGAGCCAAGCAATGGAGACCTCTATCAAACGCTTCCCTGGCTCCAGTTTATATTGGTTACCTGGCTCTGTCCTCCTGGCTCTGTCCCTAGACCCTGGTGGGACCCTGTGTGACAGGTTGTTTCCTAATCATTTGTCTTCCTGGCTCTCCCACAGGCTTTGTTTCTGAAGGATCCCTTGGGCCATGGGCTGTGCCTGAGACAGATTGGCAAGTCATGAACCTTTTATCAGTGCCCAGTATTGCAACCCACATAAGTTCCTGGATCAGTTCTGGGGCAGCAGGGGACAAAGAGCCTTTAGAGTGTGTAGTATAATGAAGTAGCTTCTCACAGGTCCAGATCTAGCTCAGTTGGCCTACCAAAGAGACCAAGGCTGACATGCTGGCAGGGAAAGCAAACCTGGTCAGGGAGCAAGGAGGAGGTTTGTCTAGCATTTATATACAGTGTCCTGTAGGTTGGGCCTACCCACCCACTGGCCTAAGGACATGTGTGAACCTCTCCTTCAGCCTTGTGCCCAGCCAGAGCTCAGCCCCTCAGCCCTTCCAGTCTTTAGTGCTCAGGTGTGGCATGGAGCTTATGGTGAACCAGCCCATGCATTCCAGGGCTTTTGAGGTTCTTTCCTTTCACCCTGGTAAGGAAGGAGCAGGGGCTGCCTAGAACATGACCCAAGGCCCCTTCCTTGCCCTGCCAGGTGGCAGTCGAGTAGTACTGGACGCATGCTGTGGGAGCTGACAATGTCCATCCTGATCTAGGTGTCCCCTCCATGCAAAGATCAGGGCTCTCCGTGTGCCACTGCTATCTCAGGATGAAGTGATAACTAGGCCCTGTGCTCAACAAATCCCTCGTTACTCCCAGGGTTCTGAAGCAATTTGCTCCACTGCCATGAGACGCGTTTCTTCCATTCCTCAGCGCACAGATAGGAAACCTCAGCCAGTTGCAGAAGGGAGGAAGGCCCTGGCATTTAGGGGAACTCCTTCGTGAAGTCACAGCAAGATCACAGGTGTCCCTTAGTCACTGTTGGGCCACAGGTGTCCTTGTTGTAAAGTTTTCTTTCCAGGATGTAGTGTGACAGAGAGAAGGAGCAGAGCCTGGTGGGTGGAGTGTCCTCCACCTACTTGTAGGCTCAGGCAAGAGCATTCTGGGGACAGCAGTAAGACCCTGGAGCATCTGATCCCAGCAAGAATGGTCTATGTAGTGTATCAAGATTTACTGGGCTAGTATCAGAGAAGAGTGCTGTAGACAACCTAGGTTGGGGGTACCTGGGGGGGGGTCTCAGTAAACTGGGACAAAGTCCTGTCGCCCGTGAGGAAGGCCAATTTTGAGCTTTACAGGAGGTTGCAGGACGGGCAGTGTAACTGTAAAGAGCACTTCTCCATGCAGCGGACCTCATATCCCTGTGGAGCAGCTGGGGCTCATGCGCTGGGACACTGCTAGCATGTGGATGCTACCCCAGGTCCCGCTACTAACCCTTCCCCTGTGGTTGCATTTCTTAGGAAGAAGCAATAGCCACTGTCCTGCAGAGCCACCACGAGAATGAGCTCTTGAGTGCTAGCCAGGTGCATATAGCAAGAGCCTGGGATTGTTAATCACTGTTCCCCACCTTCGTTCCCTCCAGGACTCAAGTTTAGTCAAATGACCCCAGATAAACTCTCTGAATCATGCATTTGTAAACAAGCCCAACCACCTTGTAAGAAGAGGCCAGGGTGTTGAAAATCCTTGGAAATTGCTAGATTGTGGTGTCTAAGACTCCCTGACTTCACTGGCAGTGGTAGGTAGGGTGGGTGTCAGTAATTTAGGGACACATCTACTCTCAGGGGGTCAGTAACGTGTGTAGAAGCCAGACTCAGTAGTATTTCCTTCAGTTGCTCTCCTCCGTACCTTTTGGTACAGAATCTCTCACTGAATCGGAAGTGCACACTTCTGCCAGCCTGGCTGGCCAATGAACTCCAAGAACCTCCCGATCTACTGTGTGGGTGCTGGGGATCTGAGCTCAGATCCACATGCTTATGTGGTGGGCACTCTATCAACCAAGCCATTTCCCCAGCCCATCCACCTCAGGGATTTTTGAGGGAGCCGTAGGAGGTACTGTGACTGGATTCCACTCCAGGGAGGTATGTGAGCTTGGAGCTGGGAGGCTCCCCGGCTTGGAGCTGCTTCACCCGCGACTCCCTTGTGGATTGTCCTATGTTTCTTGCTCTACTTCCTCACCAGGGTCCCCCAACTCAGGGCCCTTGCCTGGTTAAGACTTGATCTATAAATATTATATATATATATATATTATATATATTACATATATATTATATATATATTACATATATATATATTATATATATATATATATTACAAAGTCTACTATGTAGCCCTGACCTGGAACTCACTCTGTAGACCAGGCTGGTCTTGAACTCACAGAGATCTGCCTGTTTCTTCTGCCCAGTGCTGGGATCACAGGCGGGAGACACCATGCCTGTCATTGGCAGTTTGTCTTTCTTAAGGGGCTGTCGGGTGGAGCAAGCGTGTAGCTGGATGGGAGTAAGATGGCACTCTGGGCTGGGAAATCACTGCCTCCTAACCCTGGCATTCAAAGGTCTAGAATTGGTGGAAGGGTGTACTTTGTGTTACCTGTACCACAGCAGAGTTTCTAGTCAAATACTAATTGTCTACCAGGACCTGAAAGCCCTGCTCCTTCCAAATCCCATTTAAGATCGCCAAGGAGGGTCAGTAAGATGGCTCGGGAGTAAAGATGTTTGCTGCCAAGGCTGAAAACCTGGGTTCAAACATCAGAACTCATATGGTAGAAGGAGGGAACCAGCTCTGGAAAGATGACCTTTGACCTTTGACCATCTACATGTGCATTCAATGGCGTGCGTCCACTTCCCACCCATGCAGAGGCATGAGCATCCCCCTTCCTCCTCAAAAGAAAAAAAAAGGAGGAAAAAGGAAAAAGAAAAGAGGCAAAAAAGGGAATGAACTGGTTAAAAACAAACAAAATAAAAGACCCTTGAGGAAGGGAGCACTGCCAAATCCCCGAGCAGTCACAAAATACTACAGGGTTTCTGAATTTACTAATACTCCTAGTGTATGCCCAGTGTCCCCAGCCTGGAGCCTTCATTGTCAGAGCAGCTTAGGAGGTAAGAATTGTCACTCTTTCCCCCATAGGACACGCTGGCCCAGAATGACTTATCCAAAGTCACCCAGTTAGTAAGATGGCAACTGGAAGGACACCCTCTCCTTTGGGGGCAATTCTTACCTTTCAAATTCATTCTGGATTAAGAACATAGATTTTGTTTTATTTTGGTTTTTTAAAGACAGGGTTGCTCTGTGTAATAGTCCTAACTATCCTGGAATTCGCTCTTGTAGACCAGCCTGGCCTTGAACTCATGGAGATCCACCTGCCTTTGCCTCCCAAGTGCTGAGATTAAAGGTGTGCGCCACCACTGCCAGACAAGAACACAGATTTGAAGCCAGGCAGTGGTGGCACATGCTTTTAATCCCAGCACCTGGGAGGCAGAGGCAGGTGGATCTCTATGAGTTCAAAGCCAACATGGTCTACAGAGCGAGTTCCAGGACAGGCTCCAAAGCAGCACAGAGAAACTCTGTCTCGAAAAACAAAACAAAAACACAGATTTGAGCTGGTGCTGGTTGCATAGGCTTGTAATCTCAAACCTGAAGTTAGAGAGTCAAAGATTGAAGGCCTGCCTGGCTACAGAGCAAGGTCAGGTCAGCTGGGAGGTTGAACAGGGCCCTGTCTGAAAAGGAGTAGAAAGAGGGCTGAAGATCATAGCTCAGTGGTAAAGTTTTGCCCAGCAGACATGAGATCCTAAGTTCGAGCCCAGTAAAACTAAATGGGGCTGTGGGGCCATTTGGTAGAGCACTTGTCTAACACGTGGGAAACCCTGGATTAACTTTTCAGTGCCACATAAAAATATGATGGTAATCCCAGTACGTAAAGGTAGAGGCCAGAAAAGTCAGGAGTTCTGACTACACATTCTGAACGACACAACAAGTTCAAGGTCAGCCTCAGACATAGAAAACCTTGTTTTATCACACACACGCACACGCACACGCACACGCACACACACACACACACACACACACGATTTAGGCTGTTCAGTGTCCTCACTTGCTGGGGACCAGCTCATGTCTTTGAGCAAATTAGTTCTCCCTTCTGTGTTGTTCCCACCTCTGGAAAGCACAAGCTCCGGTCACCCCATGTGGTGGTGGCTGTGAGAATCAGTAGTGTGACTTGGGTAGTAAGGACTCCTGTCTACCCACCTACTGCTTGCACAGCACCCAGCTGCTCATAGGCCCTTTGCTTATGTCAGTCCTTTGAATCCTTAGGTTTATTTTCCAGAAGAAGAAATGGAGGCCCAAGGTTGCAATTTCTCTAAGAATTACAGCTCAAGGAAAGATCTCAACCATAGCTGCTTTTGGCAATTCACACTTCAGGTTCACTGTTCACTGTCCTGTTGCAATTTCTCTAAGAATTACAGCCCATAATAAGATCTCAACCATAGCTGCTTTTGGCAGTTCACACTTCAGGTTCACTGTCCTGGCTCTGTGGGTGGCCCTTGGCGTTGGTGAACTGTTACTGTCCTCTCCCTCCTGGATGGTAGGGATGACAGGCCAGCAACTTTACATGTAGAGGTTCTGGGACTTCCGTGCCACCGCTGGTCCTTACAGGACTTAGGTGGGGGAGGTACAGCCGCCTCCAGGCACCTGCAACGGGTCCAGGCCTGCTAAGGGAAAAGAGCAGGTGGTGGGCGGAGCCGGGCGGGGCCCCGAGAGCCTGTAAAAGCCGCGCAGGATGGAGCTCTGGCACTGACATCTGCAGCTATGGAGCGTCCTCACTTCTCGCTGGCCATGGGCCTGGCCCTGCTTGCATTCTGCCTCCTGACTCTGTCCCCGGACGCCCGCGCCGAGCTGCGGAGCCGCAGGACCGGAGAACGCCAAAACCTGTCTCCCAACGATCCGCGGGTGCAGAGGGCCGCGCAGGTCGCTGTGAGCACCTACAATATGGGCAGCAACAGCCTTTACTACTTCCGAGATACCAAAATCCTCGATGCAGCGTATCAGGTATGGTGGCTAGTGGTGGTGGGACAGAGTGGGACAGAGTGGCTGTGGAGAAGAAGAGGGACAGGGGACAGGCCAGAGAGCTGATGGCCAGATACCAAACAGCACTAAGACAACCATGACGTCGAGCCCATTTTACAAAATAGTAAAAAACAAACAAAAACGGATAAATGACAAAACCTATGGCAACCAACGTTATCTAAATATTAAAAAAAATCAGGATTCAATCATTTTTGGCATAACTAACCTCACTACCCAAACCGTGATAGATGGAGTGGGCAGGGCCCCAGACAGAGCAGGTATCACACGCCATTCTCCACATCTGCCCCAGTTACAGACAGGTGTACACAGGAGCTCTTCAGCCTCCTGTGGGGCCTACAGCTTTGCCTCCACCCCCAGGTTACACCTAGAAGCCCCCACCTCCACTCCGGATCTGAATTCTTAGGCCAGAGTGTTGCATTTGCCAGGGGAAGTCGAAGACTTGGAGGGAAAGTATAGACACATACATCGGTTGGGCTCCCAGGTATCTCTGACCTGCCTGTCTTTTCCCAGCTGGTGGCTGGCCTCAAGTACTATCTGACTATGGACTTAGAGAGCACAGAGTGCAGAAAGACCAGAGTCTCTGGAGATCACATGGACCTCACCACTTGCCCTCTGGCCGCAGGAGTGCAGCAAGAGGTAACAACATTGACCCCAGTCCAGCTCTCTGCAGCGTCTGAGGCCCTTAGCCTGCCCATCCTGACTAGTCTATCTGGCCAGGCAAAGGCCTGGCTGGACCTGTCCTGTCTGGTCTTTGTGTGACTCAGGCCAGGGTGGGGTGCAGGGAGGAGAGATTGGGGTTTCTTCTTGCAGTGGGAGTTGCCTGATAGACCTGGGATCATCTCCTGACATCTGACTTCATGTTTGGGTACCACATTGGTCGTCTGTCCCTGGCTCCAGAGAGATGTGACAGGCAGGAGGCGGACTGCTGGGAGAAGGAGGCTGGCACCAAGCTCACCTTCCTTGTCCACTATGTTCTCTCCTCAGAAGCTGCGCTGCAACTTTGAGCTCCTTGAAGTCCCCTGGAAGAACACCACTCAGCTTCTAAAGCATGACTGTAAGGTGGTGTAACATGCCCCAGGGTGACAGTGACGAGATCCCATGGGAACCAGCATGGTGGTGGAGGGACCTCAGGGCCATGGGCCCCATCTGCCGAAATAAATTCTTTGCGTGGCTTCTTGCATTGAGTTCTCCTGTGTACTTCACTCATTCTGGCTCTTGGCTCCCAGTGACTCTCAGAACTCTTCAGCTGACAGGCCCTCTGCCCTAACCCCCCAGAGAGCCCTGCCGACAGGCCTGAGGCAGTACTGAGGGGAAGTGGTTCTTCAGACACTTTCAGTAGTCTCAGAGGTAAGGGAGAAGGAACGTCACAGAAGAGGGATGACGGGCCAGGCGGTGGTGGCGCACACCTTCAGCTCCAGTGTAGAGGCAGGCGGATCTATGGGAGTTTGAGGCCAGCCTAGTCTACAGAGTGAGTTCCAAGACAGCCAAGACTGCTACACAGAGAAACCCAGGCTAGAAAACAAACAACCAAACAAACAAAAACAAAGGATGAAGCCCTGAGACTGTTACAGAGGGATGTCTGTGTGAACAGGACTGGCATCTCTTCCCGGCTTCATGCTGGAAACTCTGACAGGGTGGGTGGGATGAGAAGAGATAGTCAGAAGCTGTGAGCAGGAGGGCTGCAAGGGCTGACAACCCAGGTCAGTGAGTTTATTAGTGGCACAGATCTTTTTATTGCTCTCAAATGAGGAAGTGGTACAGAGTGTCGGATAGCAGAATTACAGGAAGCTCACAATAATCTTTCCTCCCTTCAGCGAGGAACATTCTGGGACAGCAAACACAGCACTTCACGTCTCAGTGTCTGGAATGTTTGACCGCATACATATGGGGGAATGTCAAGTTCCAAACTTCAGCCTTTGAGGCCTTGGCATTAGTCCAGAGCTGGTCTTACAGGACATGACCCTGGCTACACTGAGGGTCCTCCAGGCAGTTTGCGATCCAGTCAGGCCCACATCTATAAACACTTGAAGGGAAGCCTGCTAAACGCTCAGTACTCGGGATTAGTGTAAGACGCGCATGGATGTTCAGCTCTGTGAGCTCCAGGGCACTTGGCTCCTAGGTCACAAATATTCTCGCACACACTGGTAGAAGGAAGTAACCTCCTCTCCATTAGCATCCCCATAGGCCAAGAGGCCCCAAAGTTAGGAACCTGCCACTCACATCCTCCCCAGAGGGATTTTCTCAGTGCTTTGCTTTGGGCAAGATTCCTAAAAGAACCTGGGCCCTGGGCGGTGGAACACCAGAGGGAACAAGAGCCAGCCTGCTACCCTGGAGGGTTGCTTTCATAGGAGGCAGCAGGGTCCATTCAGTGTCATGCTGGATTGGAGGAAACAGGTATACATTCTCTGTGGGCTTTATTGTGGTTACAATTCCTGTCATACGCTTGGTCAAATGAAAAGAGGTGGGAACAGTCACGGGAGCCGCTCAGATGTTGGTAGACATTACAGACATGCCCTGAACATGCTAGAAACATAGCCTAGAAACACACAGGTAGAGACATCAGGCAGAAAATACGTGCCTCAGAGAAGCAGCAAGTAACCTAGAGATGAGCACCCCAACCCTGCAAGCCAGCCCTTGAATCGTGTCCAGAAGTCTTGCTCAGACACAGTAGCACACATCTACCCTGGGGACAGGCCATAGTCACTGGTTGCTTTGAGAGCACTAGGAGGTGCTAGGCTCAAGCTGGTGTCACGAGGTGGTGTCGAGAGCGACCAGATAGTTGCTTGTCACTGTTCATGCCTTCTCCTTTCTAAGAAAGGCCTCACACCTCTCCTGTTCCTGCTGACCCTCTCCTCCCTCCCAACGCTGTGGCCCCATGAACAGCAGTTACAACTGGGGTCCTGTTTACAGCCCTCAAAGGCCACATCAGGGAGGGAAAGGAGACAGAGAGTCACCTGGGAAGCCTGACATACTGAGGGGCTGGGTTTGATACTGACAGAGGGGACACTTGCAGCCCTGCTTCTGCTGGGACCTGATACCCACGGCAGTTCAGTTTGTGCTATGCAGTCACTGCTTGGAAGGTTTCCCAGGTTTTACCAAGCAGGAGATACCAGCATGGAGCCAGTACAGGGTAAATGGCAGGAAATACTTGTTGAATGAATGTGTGAGGCCCAGGGAGAGGCAGGACTCGAGAAAGCCCATGTAGTGGCTTTGGATTTGGAACCTGTGCCCAAATCCCAGATGGCATTTCCTCTCCTTGGTGTATTCCTGGGCCTAGGCGTGACTAAGCAAGTTTAGGAGAAGAGTTTCCACCAAGCAATGTTTGTCTTAAGGTCCCAAAGATTGCACTGCTTCCTGGCAAAAGCCAGCGGTCTGGGTGGGTGTTGGTTCAACCATCCTCCAGCTCCCATTCTGGAGTCCCTCCAGGATATGTGACCCCTGGACCGGCCTCCACTAAGAGTAAGGTTGCTATAAATGATGGAAGACAGCTAACCATTGATGGGGAGACCCTGGGCCAGGAGTGAGCGTCACAGTACTCAATGCTTAGCACAGACAAACGTCCCGCTGGCAGTCCCATGTGGACACAGGGGCTCTGGACATCCTTCCGGGGCTTGGACAGTGCATGTGGGACTCATCTAAAGCAGCCTGAGTGGAAGCAGCCATTTTCTGTGTCCTTCTTCGAATAGTAGCTGGTCTATGTCACATGGCCCTGTCCCAATCTGCTCTGAGGCCAGGAAGGTTAAGGGCCTCCTCTACCCATTTACTCGGTTTCGTAGTCTCACACGGGTGGGGAAGAGGATATCAGTAAAAGGTCTCTGAATTAATTATAAAAGGTAAACTGAGACTTCGTCAACTAGCAGGTATAGACCCAGCAGAAATTATAGTGCCTTTCACTACTGATGAAATAAAAAAGTTATGGGAAGACAATGAACCATGGCAAAGGGCTTGTGCTAATTTTTTTTTTAAAGATTTATTTATTTATTAAGTATACAGTGGTCTGCCTGCATATGTCCCTGCAGGCCAGAAGAGGGCAGCACATTTCCTTACAGATGGTTGTGAGCCACCATGTGGTTGCTGGGAATTGAACTCAGGACCTTTGGAAGTGCAGCCAGTGCTCTTAACCTCTGAGCCATCTCTCCAGCCCCTTTGTGCTAATTTTTTGGGAGAAATTAATAGCAACTATTTCAGTCGGTAGAGCATGAGACTCTTAATCTCAGGGCCGTGGGTTCGTGCCCCACGTTGGGCGCCATTATGTAACATGAGTGGGCCTGTTTGTTGGGGGTTTCTTTCCTGCCTGCCCCCAAGCTATTTAGTCCCAGAGAAAAATCAACCACACAGAGATTTCTATAAGTTATAATGCTGATTGGCCCATTAGGTCTAGCCTCTTATTAGCTAATGCTTACATCTTGATTAACCCATTTTTCTGATCTATGTTAGCCATGTGGCTCAGTACCTTTTTCAGTGGGGCAGCTCACATCCTGCTGCTTAGGTGGTCTGGGCAGGAGTGGAAGGAATCAACTTCCTCCTCCCCAGAATTCTCCTGCTCTCCTTGCATCATTTCCACTTCCTGTCTGGTTTTCCCGCCTACACCTCCTGCCTGGCCAATCAGCGTTTATTTAAAACATGATTGACAGAATACAAACAATTCTCCCGCACCAAGTGACCTTTAACCTCTAGGGGTTTGGGGAATATTTTATTTATGTGCATACATGCGTATCTGTGTGTGAGTTGAGCATGTGAGCACAGCGCCCATGGAGGCTAAAAAAAACCTGTCAGGTCCTTTAGAACTGAATTACAGGTGGTTGTAAGCAGTCTGATGTGGGTGCTGGGAGCTGAGCTTGGGTCCTCTGGAAGATCAGCAAGTGATCTTAACTACCCAGCCATCACACTAGCTCTTCCCCCACTTTTTTCAAACCTCTGGGTTCTTTTTAATTTTTATTACTTTTGGTTTTTTAAGACAGGGTTTCTCTGGGTAGCCTTGGCTGTTAGACCAGGCTGACCTTGAACTGAGAGATCCACCTGTCTCTGCCTCCTGAGTGCTAGGATTAAAGGCATGCGCCACCATTGACCTTTTGGGTTCGTAATATTCCCACTGGGTAGTATGTTATATGCTGGGGTTCCTGGGTCCTGAACCCATGTCTGGTGTCTCATGAAATCCTGATGATTCTGGGATGTTCCAATCTGTTCTTTTTCTCCCGACCTCAGGCCAGACAGGCTTTTCTCCCATAAGTAGAGGACTTTGAATTTGGTCCTCCATCACCACCCCAGGCTCCTTTTTTTCTTGTTTTTTTTTTCTTTTTTGAGACACATTTCTCTGTGTAATGGTCCTGGCTGTCCTGGAACCACCACCCAGAAACAGGCTCCTCTTTCTGTGTTACCCTCCTGATCCCCTCTAAAGCATTGTTGCTCTGAGCTGGGAGGCTGGGACCTGGTGAGGCTGGGAGAGATCCAAGAGGAGCCCCTTCTGCGTGCAACTCTAGACATATGCCTGCAGCACACTGTCCAACTCCACATGCAACTCTTGACGTAAACCTGCAGCACACTCTCCAACTCTGCATGCAACTCTTGACATATGCCTGCAGCACACTGTCCAACTCCGCATGCAACTCTTGACGTAAGCCTGCAGCACACTGTCCAACTCCGCATGCAACTCTTGACATATGCCTGCAGCACACTCTCCAACTCCCCTTACCCTTCGCTTCAGGCTAGCCAGTGAGGACACAGAGCCACCTGGGCTTTTTAAAACTTTGTTGGGACCTCAGTCCAGCATGGTTCTGGATAAGAATGCCAGCAGAGTTAGGAACTTGTCCCAACCCACCCTGGTAGGCCACTTGCCAAAGACTCAAGTCAACACGGTGGTACTCCTCAGGGTCATTTCCCGAAATCCTCTTCTCCAGTCTGTAGGGTCAGATAGGGTGTGTGTGAGTGAGCCAGGGTCAGCCTTTGCCAATGCCACAGCTGTTACTCAGAACCATTTTTGGGTAAGAGCTCCTCCCACAACCCTCTTTCTACCTTTCCCCTTCTCATCCTTCCTGGTTTACCTCAAATGCAGTGTCGACAATCTCATCGATGACAGATGCTTGGGAACGGAACTTCTGCTGGTGCTGCTCCACCGATGCCACCAATTGTAGGTACTGGAAGTGAAGCTCCCGCTGCCTGGAGTTGGGCAGAGGCAAGGACTGGGTTCCTAAGGCCCTAACATGACCCTGCTTGCTATGACCTAGACCTCTATCTCCAGTGTGCCCCTCTTTTTATAGATTTTACTTATTATTTTGTGTATATTGTTGTGCACATGTGTGAATGTGGGTACACATGTATGCATGCATATGTGTGGAGGCCAGAAGTCAGCATTGGATATCTTCCTACATAGTTCTCCACTTTTGTTGTTGCTGTTGTTTGGGGGTTTTTTTTGTTTTTGGATTTTTTTGTGTGTGTTTTTGAAGACAGGATTTCCTCTGTGTAGCCCTGGCTGTCCTGAGACTCTCTTTGTAGATCAGGCTAGCCTTGAACTCACAGAGATCCACCTGCCTCTGCCTCCTGAGTGCTGGGAGTCAAGGTGTGGAGCACCACTGCCTGAGTTCCACTTTATTTTTTAAGATGATGTCTGCATTGAATCTGGAGTTTACTGATTGGCTAGACAGGGATCCTGCTGACTGCCTCGGCACTAGGACTACAGGTACAGGCATGCACTGCCACACCCAGAGTTGTCGTGGGTGTTGTCTCTGGTCCTCATGCTTGCATGGAGAGCACGTTACAGACATCACCATTTCTTCTTGCCCCTAACATTTTGAGATGCGTTCCCACTGAGTTGTCCAGACTGGCTTTGAACTTGTGATCCTTCCACCTCAGCCTCCCAAGGAGCTGAGGTTACCAGTGTACAACCATTATACTCGGTGAGTCTGCCTGTTGTCCAATCCCCAAAATATCCCTGTCTGTCATAGAGACATCAGCAATGGTTTATCTCTCAACCACACATCCTGCCATATACTTATTTTTTATATCCATCTTCTTGCCCATTCATCTATACAAGCCTAAACATGGATCCACTCAACCACGTGCCTATCCATCATGTGCCCAGTCAGTCACTCACCTGTCCAGCCATTGCACCGTTCCATACTTACCTACCCCTGCGCCTACCTGTTCTTCCCTGGATCCACCCCCCAGTCTAAAGGACCATCTATCCACCCACTTATATTCACCAATGTTCATTACTCTCTTACTCGTCCACCCACTGGATCTTATCAATCTATTCGTCAAAAACACTGGGAATAGGAAAAACAGGTTGCTCCAAGGACGCTGAGATAAACAAGAAAGAGGTGTCACCCTTGGAACCCAGCAACTGCAGCACATTAGACATGTCAACACAATGTGAGGGCCTTGTCAGAGGAAATAACCTGGACTTTATCCGGAGGGAAAGTGATACTTTCCACTTTTCACTTTAATGGAAGTGAAAAGCCAAAATTGCACCAAAAGATACTTGGTGGAGGGGATCAGTAGGGACCATACCCCTAAAGGAGTGTAACCTGGGCTACAGTGGTGGCCCAGGTCCTGGAACATGCAGGCTGAACAGGAGTGACCCAGCAGGTGACAGTAGTCAGAATTTAAATTGACTTCCTTATATCCTGGTCATCTGAGCCTGGCATCAATATCTAACCAAAAGCAAAGGTGTAGGCAGAGGACTGGCAATAGTAGATATATGCCATCTTAGGAAAGAATGTGGGCAAAAGGTGGCGGTGCCATGGAGAGCAACAGGTGTGGCATGAGGGAAGCTGGCACTAGCCTGATCATACGGGACCCTCAGTGCCAGGCTGCTGAAACCAGATTCTCTCATGGTAAGCAGAGCCTAGAGGACGTCAGCTCTCGTGGATGCCCTGTGTAGTGATCTGGAGCCAGCCTGGCTGTGGGGCACAGGCACAGGGCTTCACTTCCATAGAGAACCTCAAGAGAGCTGGGCCTAAGGACTAAGAAGCAACAGCCTGTTGCCAAGGACCCTCGTCTCCAGCAGGAATCGTCAGCTGGCCTGGCCAGGGATGGACATGGATGAGGTCTGACCATGTGGTCTCCAGACCTTGGCCTGATGATTTCCCACGGTCCCCCTTCAACCTTCCACATGGCTGAAACCTGTCCATCTCTAATGAACCAGCAAAGACTCCGGAATGTGGAGCTGAGTGGTAGAAATACAGTATGACTTCTCATGGGGTCCCTGGCACCATCATGGAGCCTGAATCTGACAAGAGTCAAGGTGCTTCTTTAATAAAGAGAAGAGAGGCCAGGCAGTGGGGGTGCATGCCTTTAATCCCAGCACTCAAGAGCAGAGGCAGGTGGATCTCTGTGAGTTCGAGGCCAGCCTGATCTAGAAGAGCTAGTTCCAGGACAGGCTCCAAAACTACACAGAGAAACCCTGCCTCAAAAAACAAAACAAACAAAAAAACAAAGAGAGAGAGGAGAAAGCTCTGATGCTGATATGGTCCTTACAGTGCAGCCAACATGAGTTTCTTTGAGAGCTGGGTGTCGCTCCTCACTGTCCAGGGAGGCTTATGTTCCCATGTCCCAGTTGTGGGTGTGGAAACAAGTCTAGTCTGCCCACTTCCTCCTACCCACCATCAGGCCTCCAGACCTCTTGCCCTGGACCCAAGATCTCCCCTTCCTCCTATCTCCTCACCTCTCTGTCATGTTGCTGAACATTCTCTCGATAAACTGTGCCTGCAAGGCACTGTCGCTCATCTGGGCATCAGCATCTGCATGGAGAGAGGGGCGTGGGCAGGAGAACGTCCAGGTGGACGACTGATTCAAGAAGGCAGAGGAATCCCACCAGTCAGGGAAGTACAGGGAGATCTTAACCAGGCTGTGGTGGCACACGACTTTGATCCCAGCACTCAGGAGGCAGAGGCAGGCAAACCACTGTGAGTTCGAGGCCAGCCTGGTCTACAGAGCAAATTCCAGGACAGCCAGAGCTACACAGAAGAAAACTTGTCTTGATCCCTCCCTCCAAAAAAAGACCAAACCATACAAAAGGGCGACAGAACAGAAATAGTGGAGACCAGATTCCAGATTCTGATGGCCACTTGAGTACTGGTCAAGACACTCCCCAAATCCTTTGCATTCTTAACTTGCTATCTGGAGCCAATTAATTTATTCTTCCACTTAAGGTAACCTATCAGTCATAGGTGGGGATCTGCTTTGCTGATCTCAGAGCAGGGTCCTGAAGCCCAGGTTCTGTGTTCATTTCTTTTTCTTCCTCTCTCTTTCTCTGTCTCCCCAAAAATGTATTTATTTTTATTCTCTGTGTGTCTATTTTCCCTGTCTCAAAGAACAAAACAAAACAAAATTGCTGAATTGAATTGACTTTTAGAGTATAATCTAGAGGCCTTTGGAACAAAGTCCTATCCTTGAATAGTCCTCTCACGTCTCAGATTCTACCGTCCTGAAGCCGCCTGGCTACTCAGGAGCAGGAGGAATGCAAAAGAGGGACTGGCCAGTCAGTACCTGTTTTGTTGAGCTGTGTCAGAGAGTCATCCAGCAACTTCTCGTGGAACCGGGCAGCTTTCTAGATAAAAGGGCTCAGTTCTCCCAGGGTTTCTTTCCTGGCCCCCTCCACCTGGAACACTGTTTCTCCACCCCCTTGGTGTCCCTCCCCGTTGTGTGGTACCTCCAGTTTCACTTTCTCTAGGCCTTTGAGAAGCGCCATCTGGAAGCTATCTACCAGGACAGCAATCACCAGGCTGCAGAGAGGACAGTGAAGTTCTCTTAAAGGGGACACCAGAGAAGAGGCCACATACTATCCTCTGAGTCCAGTATGGCCTGAGTGGAGTGAGGGCTGGAGTGGATTAGGTGGAGCGCCCATGGTGAAGCTGGGCAGTAGGACAGGCCCTCACTTGAGGAAAATGAAGTACTGGATGATGATATAAACCATGAGGATGGGGATGATGTACCAGGCCCCTGGGGAGGGAGAGCATCAGTCAATCAAAAGGCAGTCCCCAATCCCCACGCTTTCCAGCAGGTATCAGCAGCCCCCAGATGGCAGATGTAATGCAACCATTAGCATTTGCCCACCCTGGGCCCTGCTGTCCATGTAGATGAGGGACCAGTCATCCAAGGTGAGCATAGTGAAGAGGGTGAACAGGGTGGTGAAGATGTTCTGGAAGCGCTTGGGGTCCGATGTCCGGAACAATGCCCGGAACACCACAGAGAAGAGGACTAGCAACTGCTCAGGGTGAAACCAGAATCAGAACCCCGGCCACCGAACCCACCTCTCAGCAGGCTTCATCTAGTCCCTTCCAGACCTGCTGCTCCCCACTCCCATCTGCCCTAGGCCAGCAGCCGCCCATCCTCCACAGCGCAGGATACAGAGGCAGGTAAACATGAGGGACAGGATGGCTGTGATAGACGGCAAAGATCCGCTCAGAGTCCCTGTCACCTCGTGGAGACTGGTGAGGATGCTGTGGGTGATGGTGAAGGCGGAGTCTGAGTTAGTGGGGATGGAAGCGGAAAGCTGCACCCAAAACCAGACTGGATACTAAAATTAGGGGGTCCCTAATTTACTGGTGACTTAGTCGTGTCCCCGTCCTCCCCTGGAAAATAAGGCTATTATCCTTGCTAGAACACGAAGAAGGCTCATCCCAAGCATGCAAGGGGTTACGATGCCAACCCACCACCCTCTCTGGAACAGGTCACAGTGGACTCCTTGGAAATCCAGGTCCCTGTGCCCTTTCCCTTGAGTATTTCCATGCCAGGACAAGGAGCCTTTGGTGGTAACGACCTGAGCCTCCGAAGGACCCGGATGGCCCTCAGAGCCCGCATGCTCTTGAAGACTTTGAGGACCCGGAACAGGCTGTGGTTGTAGAACGAGTAGGAGAGGGAGTTGATCTGGATAAGCACAAAGTCCAGCATTACCATGCCCATGATGAAGAAGTCTGAGGGTAGACGGTTGCTTGAGTTGAGGAGGGGCACAAGAGACCCACAGTTCCCCTAAGCCAGAGTCCCATCTCTGTCCCTGTTTCCTCCCACAACCTACCCACCCACCCAAATTATTCCATGGGTCGTAAAAATACTCCAGACCCAGGGCAATCAGCTTGAGCACAGCTTCTAGTACGTAGATCGAGAGGAAAATGGCGTCCAAGACCATGAAGTTCCATTCTGTGGGGACACCAGAGGCTTTTTTAGTGACAATCCGCAGCATCCTGATCCCCCCTCTCCCCGTTCAGCTTTTTCCTTCATCTCTAGAACCTCACGTAGGCCAAACACCCAGGCTGTCCCTGGCTGGGTTCTTTTATGGTTTGGTTTTGTTTATTTAGACAAAGCCTTATTCGGTAGCTTTGGCTGGCCTGGAAATTTATAAGCATAAAAGCATTTAACGTGTCCTAAAACTTCAGCCTTGGACTGTGGACGTGTGGTGAATCTTTTTCTTCATCTTGTTTTACGAGGCTTTAGAGGCCAGCATTCTCAGACTTCCGGCTTTTACCCTTCCGGGGCCTCCTGGTGGAGGTCTCCAGGCTCTTCCCCTAGACCCAGGACTCCCCCACCACACCCCCTGAGCAATATATTTAGGGCATATGCGCCACCTGGTGGCTCCATCATGAATAGCACCACCTACAGTTAGTGGGTTTTCTGCAACAGTCTCCAGCAATATTTCTACCTCTGAGAACGTCACCTGTTGTTGGTAGTTTTTTGCTCTTTTGGGAGGGCCACCACTCAGCTCCCACATAAATCACACATGGAGGCTTATTCTTAGTTATGAATGCCCGACCTTAGCTTGGCTTGTTCCTTGTCAGCTTTTCTTAAATTATCCCAATACCTTTTTGCCTCTGGGCTTTTTCCTTTTCTTACTTCTGTAGATCTTACTTTCACTTTTACTCCATGGCTGGCTAGGTGGCTGGCCTCTGACGTCCTCCTCTTCCTCCGTTCTCCTATTTATACTCTCTGCTTGTCAGCACCAACTATACTTGCTCCTGCCTATTGGACATTCAGCTTTTTATTAGGACCATTGGGTGTTTCAGACAGGGAAAGAATCACAGCTTCACAGAGTTAAACAAATGGAGTATAAACAAAAGCAAAACACCTTAAAATAACATTCCCCACTGGGTGGTGGTGGCACAAGCCTTTAATCCCAGCACTCGGGAGGCAGAGACAGAAGGGATCTTTGTGAGTTAGAGGCCAGCCTGGTCTACAGAGTGAATTCCAGGACAAGCTCCAAAGTTACAGAGAAACCTTGTCTCAATAAACTACTACTACTACTACTGTTCTCTGACGGCCACCGAGTTGCCAGAGGACGAAGATGAAGTAACAAGTTTCAAAGACTGCCTGGCCCTGGCTCAGGCTCATGGGAAGTCCTGGAGCTCTCAGCTCTCTTCAGCATAGAGATAGTGCCACCTGACTCTTACCACCTCTGATCTCTAACTCAGTGAAGGTCTGGGCCACAAGGACGATTGTGTTGAGGCAGACCACGATGAAGATGAAGGTCTCAAAGCCCAGGGACTGAGTCAGTGACCTCATCATTTGCCGGAGACCCCAAATGAGGCGACTTATTTTTCCCCAAATAAATTGGAAGATATTCCCAGAACGTTGCTTCTTGTGGGTCCGCTGGGTCCCTGAAAGTAAGTCATAAAGTTATGCCCAGGCAGGCAGTGATGGGGGTGTAGTGATCCCAGGCACCCTCTCAGATGAACATCTTTCCCCTTGCCCATTCTCTAATGTGACACTATGCTTGCCCTGTGCTGGTCTTGGGGCCACAGTCCTTAACCCTTCCACTTTAGGGACCAACATGTTTGGGATTTGGCGTGGCAGGTCCTAAGAGTTCCTAATCCTACAGATCTACCTTTGCTCATATGAAACTCAAAGAAAACCTAATTCTTGTCACCGTCCTGCCCTCTTGGTAATCTCTTTCCTGTTTAAGATCCTGCTAAATCGTCCCTTTCCTTGACTACTTTTCCTATTCCCATTCAGTAAGTCACTTGCCCCTCTCTGATTATTCATGAGATTGCTATTTTTGCTAAACTGTAGGCACAGAGCCTGGGAGACTGTAACAGTTAAGGTATCCACATTTGATGAGAGCCTCAACGGTCAAGACATAGACATGGGAGCCTCACCAGTCAGGACGTGGACACGTGGGCCTCAGCAGTCAAGAAGTGGACATGCGAGTGAATAAAACAGTGACTAAATGAAGAAACACTGCGTGGCCTCCAGAATCATATAGCTTAAGGAATAAAGGGTAGGACAGTGAGCAGAAGAATAAGAAATGGCTGGTGGAATGCCTATACAGGTGAGAACTGAGCTCCCTGGCGTGTGGAAATCCAGTCCAAGGTCTGGACTAGACGTGCACGAATCTGAGTGAGGGAGTCGGAGTCCGGGCTGTAGGCCCAGCAGAAACTCACTCTTGCGCTTCTGAAAGTGGTCGTCTTCATTCCAGGAGTCGGATTCTTCGGAGCTCTCCTTGGGATGGATTCTGCTGGAAACACGAGAGGTGCCCGATCGACTTGTCAAGTGGGAGCGAGGCACACTGAAGACTGAGCTTTTGGCTCCGATTTGAGAAGGGGAGCCGCCAACGGTGCTGTGGGACTTCTGTATCACAGAGAGTTGGTCGACACTTGGATAGCCACGGTGGGAACGCTCTTTGGGGCGAAGATGCTCTCGATGATGATGTTCTTTGTGGGACCGGTGCTCTCTGTGGGGGGGACGCTCACCATGGTGATGGGTGGCTTGGGGGCCTGCCTGATGGCCGCCACGGGGCTGAGGTCTTCCCTGCTTGGAGGACCCCTCAAAGGACTGGTGGGAGGGGCTCTCTCCAGGATGAGGTTGCTTTTGGTCGTGTTGGAATTCGGTAGGGTGAAGCCTGCCATTGTGGTGGGCTTGATGATGGGATTCATGGGATTTCCCCGGGTGGGAAGCACCCTTTTTGCCAGATGACGCAGTAGAGAAATGGGATGAAGTCTCACTACCTCGATGGGATCCTCCATAAGAGTAATGTCCATCTTGGGGTTGTCTGTGGTGGTGGTGGGACTCACGATGGGGATGATATCCATCTTGGGGCCCACCATGGTAATGGGACTCAGGATAGGGATAAAATCCACCATGGGGCCCACCATGGTGGTGGAACTCAGTATAGGGGGGATGAGGTCCACCTTGGGGCCCACTATGGGGGTGGGAGTCGGTATAGAGATGAGATCCATCATGGGGCCTACCATGGTGGTGAGACTCAGTATGGGGGTGAGATCCACCATGGCGTCCACCCGAATGGTAAGGAGCAGTACTAGATGTTGTGGAGATGTGGGATTTGTTATAGTGATGGGACTGATGGAAGAAAGCACCATCTTGAGAGTCTGAGGACTCACGAAAGTGCTGGGATTCATTTTGATGGTGGAATCCGCCATGATGGTGAGATGGAGGGTGAGGGGGTTCCCAGGGGTAGTAGGCTCCACTGTGGTCTGGTCTGTAGTGGACATGGGAGGGTGGTGAGTGGGAGTAATGGCCTGTATCCGTTCTAGTAGTGTGTGCCTCACGGTGAGCCTCGTCCGTCTTCGAGGGTTGATCCATGACTATACTGGAGCCCCTGGAACAAAGAGAGCTCAAGTAGAGAACCCAAAGGACCTTTTCTGGACCTCCTTCTCTGCTAGAGCTGAGCTTAGTGCCGGCTACGGCCCAGGCTTCTAGAATGGTCTGACTATTCTCTTGGAACTCTCCTCTCTATGATGTCACCAACATGCTTGGGCCTCATTTTACCAATGAGGACTCCTTCTGGACTTATTATTCAGGGTCAAGAATTATTGTGTCTAAACAAAACAAAACAAACAAAAATGAAAAGGAATTATTGTGTCTAACCTATTTATTGTAAAATAAGAAAACCAAGCTGGTTATGGTGATGTGGACCTGCCATCCTAGGACAGAGGCAGAAGCGGGCAAATCTCTGTGAATTCAAGACCACTCTGATCTACAAATTGAGTTCCAAGTTAACCAAAGCTACACACCAAAACACTGTCTCAAAAAACAAACAAACAAACAAACAAAAAAGTCTCAACAAGCCCAAAGGTACAGAAAACCGAAGCTTGAGGTGACCCAGCAAAGCAATGACAAAACTGTACCAAGAAAAAGTTAGTGGCACCATGGGTAAAACTCTTGCTGTCTAAGCCTGATTTCAGGTTTGAATTCAGACCCCTAGAACCTACTTAAAAGCTGGGCAAAGCATACAGGTGTCTGTAATTTTCCTGGACTCCCATGGAGAGATGGGAGGCAGAACCAGGAGACTCTACAGAAGCTGGCTTGGATTTAGGTTGCTATATTCAGTATCTCAAGGTAGAAGGTGTGGGAAGAGGAGAAACCCTGAGTGGATGTATGTTGTTGATATGAGTGGGCTATTTTGTGGCACACACCTGCATACCCTCCAGCAAGAAAGTCATGAACACACCTGTAACACTGACCAGCAAGGAAGTCTTGAACACATCTGTAACACTGACCAGCAAGGAAGTCATGAACACACCTGTAACACTGACCAGCAAGGAAGTCTTGAACACACCTGTAGCACCGACCAGCAAGGAGGACCATGAATTTGAGGCCAACTTGGGTTACTTAGTGAAACTGTCTTATAGAGAAAAAAAAAATCCTCCCCTAGATTTGATCCAGGCTTACCTACCTAGGGTCCTACCTACCTAGGGAATGTATTGTCCACAATAGACTGGGCCATCCCTAGCAATCAAGAAAACGACTTCCCCACAGGCCAATCAGATGGAGACAATTTCTCAACAGAGAGTCTATCCAAGTCTGTCCAGCTTCAGCTTGTCAAACAAACACATTACTGTTAAACTACAACTGCTCCTTGTTAATATATAAATAGTAAACCTATAAATAAAAAGCAAAACAACTTTAAATGTCCCACACTCATTAAAAAGCTCAAACCCTTAGAAGTGACTGCTAAAAGTTTAAATTGCTTTCCAATAATCGTAGTCACATCACTTAAGGCGATTGAAGGACAGGTTTCTCACTCACAACACAGCACACCATATTTCAGAAATATACCCCTGTCATAAGCTGAACAATAACCTCGCGACACCATGAGTGGGGGCAGGAAGCTTGAGCTGGATATTCTGAAGATGTTAAAGATTTTACTCATAGGGCAGTTTGTCAGATAAGACTCTTTAGTAAGGAAAGATAAAAAAAAAAACTTGAAAGACTAGTGGATGATTTCAAATATAAATGAAGTGGAAAGGAGACAGGTATCCAGATCTGGGTGGATTTAAGGATATGGGCAGTTTTCAGGTAGAAGATGGAAATAAAAGATTCAACAATATGGGGCTGTAGCAATGGTTAAAGGGGTAAGGATGCTTAAGGCTCTCGCAGAGAACCTGGGTTCAGGTCCCAGAACTCACACGGTGGATCACTGCCTGAAACTTCAGTTCCAGAGATCGGATGTCTTTTTCTGACTTCCTCTGTTGTACATGAGTGTGTGCACGTGAGAGTTCCATTATACTCTTTTCAGTACTTTCTACTTAACATCCTTCTCAAAGATTTGTAACACATAAGTCTGACTGCAAAGTTATGCCTAAGACCAGGTGGTGGTGGTACATGCCTGTAATCCCAGCAATCAAAGGCAGAGGCATGTAGATCTCTGTAAACTTAAGGCCAGCCTGGTCTACAGAGTGAGTTTAACGACAGCCAATGCTGCACAGAGAAATCCTGTCTCAAGATAAAAAAAAAAAAATAAAAAAATAAAAAAAATAAAAAAAAAATTCTGCCTGAGACCAGGAGACCAGGACTGAAATAGACTGTTGGATCCCTAGAGGACAGGCCTTCACACCCCCACTTGATCTGTTTTGCACTCTTGCAGTTGGTTGAAAACAGGAACAAAAACAGGACCAATCTGTTGTTTTCAGCAACGTTTCTAAGGATGTTTACCCCTAAGTCATTGAGTTAAGGTAATGAGCTTTCTGCTTTTGTTGTCTTGGCCTCCCCTGCTGAGGGCTATATATACTGTGTGAGAAAGTGGAATAAAGGTTTGTCTGCAGAACCTGAAGTTGTGTTGCGTGTTAATCCCAACGTCCCTCGCTCAGAACAACAGTTGCCAGGGCAAAGTGGAGGTTCCCACCGAGATCTGAGAAAGAAGGGGTAGTGGACGGGGTCGTCCTAGGCTGGTAAGGACAGATTAGGGTAAAATGGGATCCACAAGCAGTAAGAGAGACCTGATAGCTAAATTGCTAAATTTAGATAGCTAAATTGTTAGAGAAACAAGGGACCACAGTCAAAGAGAGAACTATAGAGGATTTTCTTGAGAATATAGCTGCAGCAAGCCCATGGTTTTTGACAGGTGGAGGTTTGAACAGCTCCGATTGGAAACAGGTAGAAACAGATTTGCAGAAACGGCTGCAAAAGGAGGGTGCTGATAGCGTCCCTATATCTACCTTTTCGCTATGGCACCTGGTTCGCGATGCCCTACTTACTGTTAAAGTGAAAGTGAGACCGGAGGTCGTCGCTGCTAAAGAGATACTTGAAGAAATACAGGAGGAGGAGACTCGCTGGTCCATAGGATCTGCAGAGTCACATAGGGACCAAAAGGAAATGTCAGAGGTACCAGGGGGAACTTTGGAATCTGGCGTAGGACTAAGGCTAACGCCAAAGTCTGCCCTCTTTCGGGCGCAAAATCAGATAGCAATAACCTCCGAGCCAGAAAATGGGGAAGGGGGCTGGAGAGATGGCTCAGTGGTTAAGAGCACTGCCTGCTCTTCTAAAGGTCCCGAGTTCAATTCCCAGCAACCACATGGTGGCTCACAACCATCTATAAAGAGATCTGGTGCCCTTTTCTGGGTTGCAGGCACACACACAGACAGAATATTGTATACATAATAAATAAATAAATCTTAAAAAAAAGAAAAAAATGGGGAAGACAGCCTCAGCTCTAGTGCAGAGAATAGTTTATCTGATGAGGAAGCGCAGCTAATGCAGGAAATTAAGGTACTTCAGAAAAGGCTGAAGCACTCACTGTAAGGCGCTTATGTGTGCCATCAGCCCCACCTGCTTTTAATGCGGATTGGGGAAGGAGGGAGTCCCATTGGGGACTGACAGATGACAAGGAGGCCAAAGAGGGCTCAGGAAGAAGAGGAGGTGTCTGTTTTTGGCCCCGGCACACAGTTGCTCCGGTTATAGAGGTACCTGATCCTAACAATCCAGGACAGATGCTGAGACAACATGTGGCCTTGAGCTTTAAGGAGGTGAAGCAATTGAAAGAGGCCGTGGCGGTTACGGCTCTCAGGCCCCGTTTACTCTTGCCATGGTAGAGTCTCTTGCGGCATTGAATCTTACACCTAGTGATTGGCAGCAGCTATGCCATGCGGTACTATCGGGAGGAGATTATTTACTGTGGAAGGGAGAATTTCAAGAAAATTGTTTACAAACAGCTAGGTTAAATGCGCAAGCGAGACAGGCACAGCACAATCTAGACATGCTAACTGGAGTAGGAGCTTATGCTGACTTGACCAATCAAATTGTGCTCGATCCTGCCGTATATTTCCAGATGGCAACTGCAGCTATCAAAGCTTGGAAAGCCCTGCCAAATAAGGTCGCGGGGGATCAACTGTCAAAAGTTCTACAAGGGTCTTCAGAACCATTTCAGAACTATGTGGATAGGATATTGCAGTTGGCAGGGAGATTATTTGGTGATGTGAACACAGCTATGCCCGTAGTGAAAGACCCCCGAGGGATGTCTTCCTTACGAGAGAGGCCCCAACCCACGAATCAGACGAAACCACACTTACGGATGCAAACAGTAAGAGGTTTATTCAAATACACAGGTACCTGGGGCGACAAGGTCTCTCGGAAGACTTGCGCGCCCGTCAGGCTGGGGTGAGGGGTTTTTATAGGAGAGCAAAAGCGCGGGAACAGAAGCGAGATGCTTGGTTATGGGGATTCATTCCATTGGTCAATTCAAATAAGGCCAAGAGTGCGAACTGAGTGGCAAATTCTTGACCTTTTACCTGAATACCAAGGAGGGGGTTGTCCAGGGGCTTCCTGTTTTCCCTATCTCTTCTTGCCTTTCTAGCTGGAGACCCACCTGGATACCAAGGGGGGGGGGTTGTCCAGGGTGGTATTTTTCCTTTTCAGTAGTTAAGCAGCTGGCATTTGAGAATTCAAATAAATACTGTAAGGAAGCCTTGCAACCACATACGGCAAAAAGCTTAAATGAATACATCCGGATCTGCCAGGATATTAACAGGCACTTCATTCAGGGCCAGGTGATTGCCACTGCCATCAGGCCTGGGCGTAGATCCCGGACAACTGGGGATAAAACCTGCTTTAACTATGGTGCCCCTGGACATTTTAAAAAGGAATGTCCACAACTCACTCAGGGAACTACTGCCAGACCAGGAAAGTGCTCACGATGTAAAAGGGGGGCCCACTGGGCAAATGATTGCAGATCTAAGACAGATAGAGACAGAAGGCCTCTGTCTGTCCAAGGCCAACGGCAGGGAAACTGGTGGAGGGCCCCTCTCCAGGGCCCCAGAACCTCAGTGTATGGAGCAATGACACCAGGAGTCAGGGGGTCCCACCCCGGCAGTGGCCATATCCAGTTTGTTCCATAGGGCAATCCTTTTGTGTTGCGGACCTTGCCCGCGCTACCCCAGGAAGTGCAGGACTGGACCTCAGTACCTCTGCC